TAACTCGGCATCCAGAGGCGTTTGGCAGATAAGAAAGACAAATTTGGAATCAGCGTTTTAATACTCTACAAAGTGATATAGGTCTCTTGCAGAAAGACCACTTCGACTAAACACGCTTCCCTTGCCAGCAGTGTGCAGTCATAAACATGCTATATTCATGGCGCTTCAATCTACTAACTTTTTCGAGCAACTTTGTCTGCATCGCGGGAGCACTATATTGAACATTCTACTACACCATCTAATTGTGCCATTGCTTCAGCACCTGGTAGGATTTTTTTCGTACAGGTTGCTTCTGCATAGAAATTTACCTGTAAAGTAAGCTCGGGGCAGAAAGCGACTAGAATTTTGCACACAACGGCATGTCCGGTTCGAGCGGCTACATCCAGGGGAGTTTCGAACCGTGCGTTCCGTATTCTTGGGTCCGCATGATGCTGAAAATGGAAAATTCGCAATTTCACGCCCAGGAAGAGATACGAAAGTGTGTAATCATAGATTATCAATGTTTTGATCGAAATTGTGACCTCAAGAAGGACGCGAACAAGTAGATCATGGCCGTGTTGGGCTGCTAAATGCAAAGATGACTCTTGAGCATTGTTCACCGCATCGACACTACTGGGATCTGATTCACATAACAGCTGAAAGCAGAATCTAAGCCGAACATGAGCGAAAGGGAGCCGGATTACCTTAACAGCTTCGTAGTGACCATTCCATGACGCCAAGTGTAATGGAATACATCCCCGCTTATCCCTGGCTGAGCATAAGAGCTTGTCGGATTCAACGAGAATTCTGAAGTTTGTGTGGATGCACAAATGGCCGGGAACATTGTTAGTTATAGATTTTTCATGTCCTACTTGCAAACTTGATAATGTCCATGAAGAGCCGCAGTGTGCAACGGCGTATAGAGCGTTGAAGGATCCTTAGACGAAGCTAGCCAACCAAGTGACGGAAGTGCTGTCCGCAAAAAACTATAAGTACTAGAATGACCAAGTAAAATATTTTTGTTGCAACGATTAAACACTTCTACGAAAATTTTGAAGGAGAAACTGCAATGACGTACTTCAGTGGGGTACGCGGCTTTTTACTCTTCTTGCTTGCGATAAAACTTCTGATTTTTTCAACATCACCTCGACGGCAGGCTTCGAAGAATTCCTGGAATGTTTGTAATTTCTTATCATTGTGGTGTGCTACTCCTGCAGCTGGTATTTCTTATGATCAATGTTCTCATTTGCTGCTGCAGTCTTGGGATCGCTCTTTGCAAATCCTCAGAAAAAAAAATGTCTTGAAGCAAGTAGCAAATAGCACATCCTAAGTGGGGTCGAAAATTGACCGAACACCTCCGTTATCTGGATAATCGTAACAAAATAGACCTTTCAAATTCAAGGATCTTGTCAGACAGGTACATATTCACATTGTGTGAGTATAATAAAGGGCTTTTTGAAATGGAATCGAAGGAACACTTACTAGCTGCGTTGGTGTCAGCTCTCTAACGCCCATTGTGTGACGGATCTGAATATGCTCTTGGAAGGCAGATAATATGAAGCAATAAGTATGTAAAACATATACAAAATTTCCAAAAATTAACTGAATAGCATTCTCAAACTCGGGATGGTATACTGGAT